AGATGGGTTTGTTTCTCAGACTGTCTCCAACTGGCGACAAGCACCAAAGATGTCTCTCATTGCAAGAGACATCCCATATTCCATAAGAAAGTGTACTGCATTGCGTTTTGAAAAACAGCTCTAAAAGAGCTCATTAGCATAATTTAATTGCAGTGAAACCATCACAAAGTGCTTAAGGCTACCCATAAGTGAGCACCATTTTTTTTATCCAGTTCTGAATACAAGGATGAATTTCTTCAGCCTGCGTTATTCACACTAGAGTCATGAAGGAACACTGTGGACCAGACAGTGCAATGCATGCGTAGTAAGAACACATCAGCATTGTTTGGAAAATATATATGTGCACAGGTGTATACATGTAAATTCACACATACAATATGATGTATGTAGGTTGAATGTTCTATGTTTTGAAAGGTTAGCACATGATTGAGAAAATGAAGCTGAAATGTGTGTCCAAATAAACTGCGGATTCAATAGCTTCAGTGAGGGAAACAAGTCAATGGTGGACTGCATCCACATCTTCAGGAACAGAACAAAACCACCTTCTTACTTTTAACTGTTGTCTGACTTGCAGCCCTGTGAAAAGGGTAGAGGTTCGCACATATCTGACACCTGTTTTAAACCTTAACATAGGCTTTTCAGAAATAATTCAAGGCAATTTGAATAGTGAGGAAGTTAGCATTGCCCTCCGCCTCCTTTTCTGTCGTGTTTGTCAGGAGACTATTTTAGCCTTTAGCCCCAAGAAGGTTGGTCTGGTACACTGCTTGAGCATTAGACTACACAAGTTCTCTTCATTCCCATTAAACTGAAAAAAAAAAAAAATACAAAATATCTCCTGAAGTTCAAAAGCATGCATAAAGGTGTGCACCAGCACCCTGTCTCTTATAGTGGACTAGCTATTATGGGAAAGCTGAAACCTGTAGAGCTAAGCACATGATCTCTTTAGTAGCCCAGTATCTAAGGATTCTCCCAGATACGAATATCCCAGAGCAGAGTGCAGTATAAAGGCCAATAATGAATTAGATGGCAAATGCCTAAAAAAATACCTAAAAAAGTTCTTTGAGCCAAAACAAGATTACACTTGCCACAAAAGATGGGTGTCCAAATTAGTACAATACAGGATCAGGCTTTTGTTTGCTCTCCATCTCCAGCTCAATAGATCATGTGTTAAATATTTCATTCACAGAAAATTGAATTCTTTCAAATCACAAGAAGGTAGGTGATGGGGGTTTGAAGCCACATGAAAAAAAAGTACTTGAACACAGGTTTCCCACATCACAGATGAGTGCTTTTATTCAAAGCCCGGTGTGGCTGCTGCTTTGGCCATGTTTCAGAATAAAGCAGTGCAGTTGCTGTCACCTTGCCTGTAGTGCCCTGCCTGGGAAGCGTTTGCAGAGTGACCTGCTGAAACTTCCTTTGTTAGGTTAGGCATCTCAGGAACTATCTTCAAGAGGGTGTTTTTGGATTCAGGTGCCTACTTTCTGCTGAAACTCACTAAAATCGCACCTAAAATCTCATCTAAATTTGCCTATAAAGCACAGCTGAATTCTGAAGCAAAAGATGTAAGTTTAAAAAATCATTAATGGCTTTGTATTCTTCCCTTAACATAAACCTTATTGATGATTTTCTCATCAGTGCTTGTCCTGGTTAAGGGGAGAGGAACTTCTCCCTTAACCAGGCCAAAGAGACCATGAAAATGACTTGGCAGCCTGAAGCCAACCTGCGACCAGGCAGAACGCAGGACATGGGCAGAGCTCCCCTATGCTCCCACAGGAAATCTGTCATGCAGGTACTTTCATAGCAGGCTTTCTAACATGCGCAGGCAGACTTGACATCCATGCAAAATATAACTCAAAATGCAGCTAGAGGAGGCACAGAACATCAGCCTTTTGACTGCTAACTCAGTGATGAAAACACTTGTGCAGGACTAGAGATACCAGGGTTCAGTCTCCTCCTCCAAACTTTACGGGAAGCAACCTTCAAACAGAAAATAGAAGAACATTTCCCTCTTTCTCTCTACCTTTTCCTGGCCATTAGATTACAAAATCCTAATCTTTTTCTGATCCAATAAATATCAAAATCCTCTCTGTGCAACTGGTAGAACTATGCAGGAAAGCTGGAGAATACAGCTTCTTCCCACCACAGTCACACCACGTCACTAATAATAACTGAACTCTTGGAAGAAAGAGATGAGTGAGTGAGTTTTGACTAGATCAGGTGGAGAAGGGAACTGAAACCAAACTCTCCCTTCTGCCACGGGTCCTTTATTTCAATAAAAAGCAAACGAGAATTTTGCTTGCGTATGGGAGGATAGGAGGGTGTGATATATCTTCGAATAACCATGTTTTAGAAGAAAATGACAAACCATTCTCAGTTCTTCAAAAAAATCACTTATTCTCATAAGTGAGGTTCCTAGTGAATTCAAGCAGTGAATTCAAGCTGATAGAGCCCTGCAAAATGACAAGCAAAACCATGGCTAAGGTTTGCCCATGTATCCTATTTGCCTCAGACATGAGCTATAAGTATCTCTTTGCCTCAGAGGCAAGCTGGCTGTCACCTCAGGTAGTGGTATTTTGGATTGTACTCAGCCCTAACTCCTCCTGGGCACCAGATAAAGAGCCTAAATGTCTACCTCAGAACTCCGGGTTCCTCCGCAAAGGTGAGTACTTAAAGGTTTGATGTGCCGCCCCAACTTTTAATTGGATCCAACCCTGTAATTTGTTCCACAATAGGATGAGCCAGCAGGATTATTTACAGCACAGCATGAAAGCAAATGCCAAAGAAGTCACCATGCAGCAGTACAAAGTTGTTGTATTGATTGTATAAATTGCCTCATTCAACAGCCTTAGGCTGACTATGAATATTTCAGTGTTGTACCTCTCTTCAGTTTCACATCTAATGTGTTTCTTGAGTAAACAAGTGATGCTTGGGAAAGCCTTCCTCCCTTAATACAAAATAAGACATGGGTTCCCAAAGAAAGCTCAGCAGCAATCGATCGGAGATTTTAAAATTAACTGAGGCATAATGGAAGATTCTTATAAAACACATCTTCAAAATAATTCTGTAATAGCCTGATGGGCTTATTCCACTGAATTTAAAGGAGGTAATTTTTTTCAAAATACAATGCCACTAGTACAAAAAAAAAAAGTTATTGAAAATCCTGTGATACTGAGAGAAAATGAAGCTTCAGAATGGCAGTGTTCAGACAGCACTGGGATTTTGATGTGCTACTACTCTGCCCAAACAACCAAGAACTTAACAACAGGTTCCAGAAAAGCTGTGGCAAAGTGCTGCTGGATGTTTCAGCACGTTTATCTATCGCTTTTAATTTTGTGTAATGGTGTCACATATTTGAGAGCCAATTACCAGCAAGGACCTCGTTCACAGATTGTGACGGGGGTGAGACAAGCAGGCGTCCACCCTAGCAGTGCACTGGAGGAACAAGGTCTTGCCTAGTAAACACAGGCATGACATGTATAACATGCCATCCATGTGTATAACAGCTGTGAGAGTGTCTCTGCCATCCAAGCAGATACCATGGGTGCTAAAACTACTTTTTGAGCTGAAAGTTATTATTAGCAACTCTCTCTGCAAGGGGAGAGAAGAGGCTGTGCAGTCAGACACTATTATATCATGCGACCAAGTCCGCACATGCTGCAGATAGCCATCTGTAATGGGAAGACAATTTTCCGCACAGAATTTCTGTTCAGTAGTAAAAATGTTTATATTACAGGCAGTTAGACTTCTCAGAACTTAAACACAAGTATTTGCATATTCAGATCAGCCTAGGGTATGCAGTGTACAGAACTACTGGACAGCATGACCATAGACAAAGAACGACCTGGAGAAAATCATCAGGAGTAAACCATTTTAAATTAACCTCTGTTTAAGGCTTGATTTGTGAGAGATGCTGAGAGCCGAGATCATATATATATTCATATATATCATATATATTCAGAAACCAGCTTTGGAAACGTTTAACTGAAAAATTTCTGCCTACCTCTGTCCACAGAACGGGACTGACAATACTTACAGAAAATCTTAAAACTTGGAGTCACAAGTATGCTATATAAATGCCAGCTATTATCATGAGCATGTCTGAAGCTGGCTTGACACTGTGTGAAGTGAATAGCAGATTACACATTACCAAAGAAAACTTTCTGAAGGAAACATTCAACAATGTCAGGAAAAGAGACATGCTAGCTTCTTGCCACCTACAGGTGAAACACTAAAATCCTCATGGTCCACCAGCTAGCTACATCTCAGGCTCCAGTGTTTGGAGAGCAAATTGCCTCAAAACCAGAACTGACATTAAATATGAACAATAAATTGGGATTCCAAACTTTGTGCAACTTATGGAATCTTTTCTGGTTTTACTTTAAAGTTGAAGCATTTTAATTTTTAAATGCTTCATTTTTTATAATCAGTCCACTTGACAAGGCTTTGTTTGGTTGTTTTTTTATGAAGAATAGCTGAAAGATCTTCTTTTTTACTTTTTTTTTTTCCCTAGTCCCACACCATGCTTCTGTTCATTACCATTGATTAGCAAACAGCTTGCCAATTAACCCTAACAGAGTAGTCATCAGTTTGATAGCATTGCATGTCATCCAAAAGGTAGGGAGAATTTATTGTCAGTTGCAGACAATTAACAAGGGGTTGACAAAGCTCACAATTGCCTAAAAGCTAAATGTTGCAGAACCGCTGAGATAAATTATTGAATCAATTAAAACGCATGATTGGATGTCTGCAAGTACATTTAAAGCTAGTAAACAAGCTTCTAGGTGTTATGGAGTAGAATCAAAAATTAGTGGGAGGAGAAAGACTAGCAGGGGTTTTTTTTAGTGTTGTGTTTGGGTTTTTTTTTTTTGTTGTTGGCTTTGGGGGTTTTTTTAAGCTGTTGAAGATTGTTCTGTTCTAGTCTGCCATTAACATTAGTTAAATATAACTAAAAGCTAGTATTGACTTAAAGCAAAAGCATCTGGTAAAGAGTAAGATCTAAAATGACTTTCCTTCCAAAGTGGTTAACTTTCCTAAAAGGCAAAGAGGTTGTTATTGCTAATGCTATAATTGCAATATTGACAATTGGTGGGCAGCAACTTTTCTCTTTTTTTACATTCAGCTGTCCCTGTCATGTTGGGCAGAACCTTATCTATGGGCTGGCCTTCCTAGGAGCTCCTGCACTGATCCTTCTGGTTGTTGGCTATGCCCTGAATAACCAGACTTGGAGGCTGGTTACAGGCAAAAGGTCTCCTCTTGAGGAAGAGACTACACCAAACTGGTTACTGCAATGCAAATTGATCTGCTTAGTCTTGTGCAGCATCACTGGGAGGGCACTGGTTGCTCCAGTAACATGGCTAGCAGTCACCCTGATAAATGGCTCGTATTACGTCTGTGCCATGAGTGAGTATGTCTCCGTGCATTATTACAGAGCTAATCCTAATGTTACTGCTAGCGAACGCAGAAGGATACTGGCTGCATTTCCATGCAGTCAGTTAGTTCCTCTAGAGCTGACCCGGGCAAGAGATGAAGTGATTCTCCTACTCCGATACCAGTCACAAGTAAGTAACTCATGTTGCTTCTCGTGTGTGTGGATCTAAGGATGAGAACTTAGAGTTAATTCAGCAGACAAAGTGTTAGGATAAAACAGGATCAGTATCTTCTGCCTTGAGTGCCAAATCTCTGTGTGTTTTGAAGCCCGCTTTGTTCCTGTAAGTGGAACTGAACTTTAGGTTTATAAGTTACTATGTCTGGTTGTCCTGTTTGTTACCTGCTACTGGAAGATATATTCTTCCTTGCATAGTATCTTGAAAAGTACTATCAAGTAAGACAAATGGAAGCTCAAGAGCCAGGGAGGGTATGAAGTTTCTTCATTCAAGCATAAGAAACGTGACTAAGGGACCCAGGCTGCGAGAGCTCCACGTGAACCAAATTAAAATCTTGGTTTTAGATCAGACTCAATTCTAAAAGCTTAGATACCGGGTAAATAATAGGGGGAACATTAAGTTGTCACTTCAGAGAAAATTGGTTTTAAACAGGCTATAAGCTAATATAGGCTAGGAATTAGATGGCTTCTCTTCTCACAATAATAGCTGTGAAGGCAAAATCCTTAACAAATTATACAACAGAACTTCCTTAAACTTGAGAGAAAGCAGCAACTTTACTACATGGCTACCTCCTGTAGGCAGGGACTGGGTTTGATGGCAACAGACGCTTACCAGGCTTCTACCTCATTAATCTTATTATTCAGGAAAAGCAAGTAAAGATAATCTTACGGATTTTCTGATGCTCAGAAGTTACCCTCTGAGTATTTTCAGCTGTAACAGTTTTTTTTCTTTTCTTTTTCTTTGTAAGGTGGCTGGCTGGCTTCTGATTGCTGTGGTAGTCATCACTGTCTTCCTGTCTTACTGCCTGGCAAGCTGTTTCTCCCCACTCAGCTTTCTACATTTCAGATACTGGAGCAGCTATGTCCATAATGAGCAGGAGCTCTTTGATGAAGCGACAGACCAGCACTCCAGGCTCTATGCTATGCAGCATGTAAGGAAGTTCTTTGGCTTTGTCCCAGGGAGCGAAAATGTAAAGGAAATCCGTATCCCGTCTCTCAGAGAGTGGCAAGCTATTTCTGGACTAGCCTTTCTAAAACGAGTGGACGAGGAGCACTATGACTACAGCCTCCTCCATGACTGGGCGCTCAAGGAGTCTGTCAATGGAAAATACCTGAAGACTGATGAAGACCCTGTGATCAGAACACAGCTCTGAGGAT